CATACTGGAGAGTCACAAATGTTCATATTTGAATATGATGAATATTACAAAGCTTGATTATGGTGCCTGAGAGACTCACAGGGGTATGGTGGGAGGCTTGTGTTAGCAAGTCTGCCACTTACTAGTTATGTGATATTGGACAAAGGGCCATAAAAGCTCCTCAGTAACTTAAGGATAAAAATTCTATGACCATCAAACACACAGAAAGTGCCTGTAAGTGTAACCTTTAAAGTTATTGTCACTGGACCTTATTACATACAAATACCAGCTGAAAAAGACAACCTTTTTATTTCTGGACTTCTCAACTTCCTGGCATTTGAGTTATTATTCTTTGATTTAAAAACTGTGAAATTGTGAAAGCCACAGTAATAATAGGAACACAGAGAGAAGAGGTCTCTTAGAGCAGGAACTGTAAACTCAGGGTTAAGCTTCATCCTCCCTGAAAATACAACAGGAGTGCTAGAGAAGGAAACCGTGAGCTGTGGCTGCTGTACTTGAAGCATGTCCCCTGTATGTTCATTTACAAATCAATTTGGCAGAATCCCCAGAGGGGAGGTGAGGGAAAAACCTAGGCCTTAGATAGAAATGCAAAGGTTCTTCAGCCTGAAATGAAGAAAAACATATTCATTTGGCTTTAAATAAGGCCAAGGGCTGAGTTTGAAATTCAATTTTAGCCTAGAGTTTGGGTAAGCATGTCAATAGCTAGTGTATCATTCTTCACTTTTGTTTGTTTGGGTAGTTGATTAATAGGTTTAGAAATCTCTAGCTTTCGAAATATCACAATTTGGAAATCAAATAAATATATCCTAAAATACCATGCAGATTTTACCATTTCTTTTGTTTTTAATTCAGTGCTGCACAGGTTAGGTGAAATATATCTGAAGTTTCTATGTATTACATTCTTCCTTTGGTGTCTACTATTGTACTGAAACCTTTACATTTTACTTATTTTTTTTAAATAATTTTCTTTCTCAGATCACTATTTTCTAAAATGTATGCATTGAACAATGATAGTAAATTTAAAAAAAAAAAAAGCCTTGGTTATATGAAGTTAGAAATCATGCATTTAAAACATATTTTTCTTGTATAACATCTCAGAGATTGTAATATTCTGTTGTGTGCTGTTAAATGTCTACGCTGTAGTACTTTGATTTTCTACACCTTATCTGACCCAAGAACCCCTTTGTTTCCTGCCTACCACACATATTGGTGTTGCTTGAGACAGATTTTGTAGAAAAATTCTTGATGATAATGTGCATACACAAAATAAGATGTTACTATTTTGACAGATCAGACCCATTGGCTCCTGGAGAGAAAAACAACATACATGATTTTTTTATATAAAATATTTGATTATAATAGTAAATCTTTATTTACTATTATAAGCTTAGGCAAAATGATCAAACTAGCTCTGTGTGTGTCCCCTGATTTGACAGTAGAGGCTACTTTTAGTTATACAGCATGTGGTATCATTTAGTTAACTATTTATAACAGACCTGGTTATTATTTACATTTTGCCCTTTCATAATTCCTCATTGTAAATGGTTGTATATATATGTATGAATATGATTTTTATTAAAGATATTAAAACTTATTTTGTTATACTAGATTTCTAAAGGGATAAAAGATAATTACTTTTGATGGTTTATCTATAGTTTGTGAAATCCATCTTTAAAAGGTAATTCAGTTCAGTTTTTTTAAGTATTCTGGGAAATAAAATTGTCTCTGCAGAAGAATATACCACTTTGCATTTTGAAATCTGATTTTATAGCCACAGTGATCAGAACATCATTCAATTCAAACAAAATAACTTAATCTAAAGACTATAATACATTTGCATGAAGTGACTAGTACCAAAATACCTCCTCTACAAATTTGGATTAAATGTGGTCACTGCCATACCAGTGTTACTAAAAAAAACCCAAATTAATACCCTGATCACCAAAATATGATAAAAATTCAGCAGTATGTATTTTCGGAGAGCATCTTTGATATACATACACAGTTGATTTTTATTTCAAAGTATCATTATAAGGGGACTTCAATATTCCTTAATGGGATATAGGCATAATTCACCTTATTCCCTGATAGAAACACACACCATTTGTGCACAGAATGTACACAAGACAACATGGTAAGGCAACTACCTGTAAGTCAATAACCTTTTTCTGCTTTTAATTTTTCCGTCAGCTGGTGGCTGAAGGGAAAATTACCCTTCAGTGTTCTCTGTGGTTGTCTTTATAGACGTGATAGAAGAATGAACCTAGAGAGCAGAATGAGGGCTATTGAAGCAGCGCATATTCACACATTTGTGTGGCTCTAGGCTTTCTCAAGCTCTGTGCATTGTTAATTTTGGTTCTGAGGAAATAAGATTGAGGAAGGTTTAGAAGCTTAGCTGGGGTGAGGGACTTGGCAATATATGTAGAGAAGAATCCTGTACTATGTCCTGTGGCCCTTCATACTGCTATTCTACAGCAGGCCCAACCTAAGGAAGAGATACTGCAATTTTAAATTAAATTTTAATATTTAGATTAAGACACTTAATTGATTTTAGGAATGATCTTAGGTTGCATATTCAGACTTAAGAAGATCAAAGAATGTACTGAAAATAATGAAATGTTCATCAATGGCAAATACATGTAATGCATCCTAACAAAGGAATACTACTGAGCAATAAAAAGGAACAAGCTACTAATACATGTAACAACATGGATGAATCTAAGCACCACTGATTAAACGATAGTTTCCAAACACAAACGACCACATACTGTATGATACCATTTATATGAAATGGCAAAATACAGAGACAGAAATGGAAAAATACATAGACAGAAAGCAGGCCAGTAGTTTCAGGATCTGGGAGTAGGAGGCAGAGAATGACCACATAGGGGTAAGAGGGAACTTGTCCAGATAGTGGAAAAGGTCTGTGTGATAATTATCCTCACTCTATGCGCTTGTCACATTTCATTTGTACACTTAATACTGGTGACTTTTATTGTATGTAAATTATACAATACCTAAATAAAATCAGATAAAAAGAAAATATTATAGAATTCACTAGTAAAGGAGAGAGATGATCCTATAATTTGTTTTTTTGCGACAGAGTCTCACTCTGTCACCCAGGCTGAAATGGAGTGGCATGATCTCAGCTCACTGCAATCTGGATTCAAGTGATTCTCCTGCCTCAGCCTCCCAAACAGCTGGGATTACAGGCACCTGCCACCATGCCTGGCTAATTTTCTTGTATTTTTTAGTAGAGACAAAGTTTTACCATGTTGGCCAGGCTGGTCTCGAACTCGTGACCTCAAGTGATCTGCCTGCCTTGGCCTCCCAAAGTGCTGGGATTACAGGCATGAGCTACCGTGACCGTCCTATAATTTGTGAATACCTAAAAGTGACCAGAAAAATGAGGGTAGACTGAGCTTCATCCAGAATTTGGGCAACGGTTAATGTCAGATAATAAATTTAAAGGGAAGGTGGAAAAGAAAAATGATTACACTCATGAGTTCTTCTCCTTTATCATTGTAACCACGTAATACGTAAATCAGCTAGTCCAATGATTAGCCTATGGAAAGCATTACAATAAATGCTAACTGCTACTATTTTTATTGTTCCTATTGTTATTATTCAGAACCGCATGTTAAGAGTACCTAGACAACACAAGAGGGGTTGTGAATACAAAGGAGTCAGAAACTTTCTCCTTCCTTCCAGTGGAGAGAGCCTGTGAATTGACTGATTCCAGTGATTTGAGAAACACAAAAGGAGATGAAATTGATAAATGACTTGTTTAGGGGAATTAATGAACAATAATGTGTCACAGAAGCTGAATATTAGAGTCATTTCTGACACATCCTGAGCACTTTTGAGTGTATCAAATTTCTGATCTATCTCAATCTATTATGAACACTCTTGTAAGTACTTTGTATTTCATCATGGGAAAAAATGGGAAATGTGACAACAATGAGTATAGAGTTTGAGGCTGATATTAACCTTGATCTTCACATGTGCTACAACACAGAACATATAATAGCCAGCATCTACTTAATGTGCCCAGACTGACTATCCTAAGTAAATTCATGAATTATCACATTTAAGCTTCATCACAACTTTAATAGACAAGGATAGTGAAAGAAGTTACATGAAAGAATTAAGATCAAGGGGTGGGTGTGGTGGTTCAAGCCTGTACTCCCAACTACTTGGGAGGCTGAAGTGGGAGGACTGCTTGAACCCAAAAGTTTGAGGCCGCAGTGAGCTGCAATCTCGCCACTGCACTCCAGCCAGAACAACCACAGGACAAAGCCCTGGTGAAGGGACATTAAGCTTTATCAGAGCTGGATTGCTGACATTATGTTTTTGTTGTTTGTCCTGTCCTGGAAACAGAATGGAGGGAGATAACTGATATCTGGCCCCAAATCTCTGGCACCCCCCATAGGTTAACATTCTATACTAGGTGCTCAACAAGTGATTGCTGAATGACTTAACGTCTCCATGTTTCAATTATTGGAAAGCAAGATTTGCATATTATATTCTTAGAGTCTAAATGATACCAAACATAGCATAAGGTTGATGTTGGATAATGGTATATAATTTATTTTCATGGCTTCCCAGCTGACCAGTCTATTTTGAAGTCCATTTTGGGGCAATGGTATAGACATACTTCTGTGTTAGATTGCTGGCATTAACAATAACTTGAATTTTGATAAATCTTTATTTAAGGGTTATTAAACTGAGACAATTGTTGCTTTTAAATGACAAAAACAGTTAGTATGCAGACTCTAATGGGTACATTTATCATTTCCTTATCATACTGAGCTTTAGGCTTAACGTTATCTATTTTCCAAGAAAGTAAAAATGTTGTTTCTTAGAATAAAAAGGTTCTTTATAATGTGAGCAGTAGAGATTGAAGCTGTACAGATTGGTTCTTTAATGAAATAGGCAAAATTCCAATGGAACTGACAAGCTTTATTTCTATTTGTTGTATTTCTTTTTTCTCATTACAGATGGACCCGATTCAGAAAGCTGTAATAAACCATACATTCGGGGTTCCTCTTCCCCATCGAAGAAAGCAAATCATATCATGCAACATTTGCCAGTTGAGATTTAATTCTGATGTAAGTTTATCATTTAGTATTCACTAAAACAAACAAACAAACAAAAAAACACACACACACATTTTGCTGTTCTAATCTTGCAGGAGAAAAGATTTCTTAGACATTTTCTCCAGTAACTGAGCATGTCAAAAATATGTCAAAAATTCAAAGATAACATTTTAACTCATGTGCTTTAATTTTGGAATTTATTATGTTTGGTTGTTTACTACAGAAAATTCACACATAAACAAGCTTATACACTTACAAGTTTAATTTTTTTTTTTAGTCTTTTGGGAATGCTACATGTAGGTAAACACTTTGGCTTTGGGAACAAATGGGACTTTCAATGGGTTACACTCTGAAATAAGATAGGTACCAAATCATATTTTAAGATCAAGATTTTGAGTTTATAAACTCTTTTTGCCTGGAATGGAGGCCTCAGATTCCATATTACTGCTATGTCCTCAATTATATTTGTGCTAGAGCACTCAAGTTGTCCTAGGAGTACTGGTATTTTAACAGGGGGTCCTACAGTCCTAGACCAACTCAAGCCTCAAAAGACTCTTCAGTGGAGAACATGTAGGAGGGAAACATTTGTGGACCTGACTGGTGCTTCACAAGTTATTTAGGGAGTTACTCACACCTTTTCTACCATTTCTAAGGACCAGGGTGGACTCTGGATCCATCACAGTGATACTAATTGTGATCTGTGGTCAAATGTATGTCTTCTCTTCCCCGCTAAACCTGCTTTGATATAGAGTTAATCCTGAGAGTTGCAGAAGAGAAAGGCAACATTGGTTTAGAAGGAATAGGAACTGGACAGCATTCACACTCTAGGCAAACAGGCTCCATCCTATCGAGGTACCATTTTCTTGTCCTAAGTTGATACACTGTGTGGAGATGACCAAACAGATCTGAATTCTGGAGAATGTTAAGCCTTCCAGTATTTAACCTCCCCAGTCAAGTAGATCTCTTAGATGCTATGCTGATGAAGAGAGGATGCAAGATAATCGAGTATAGGAAATAGATGAGGCATAAACAATATAGTTTATTCTTCTTTGAGGAGAACATTTCATTTTATTTTGCTTTTGTCTTAAGAACTCATACTTACTAATGCAATAATCAGGTAATTTTATAATATCCATTAACTTAAAAAAGAGAAGAGTGGATTGCCTGCATAATACTTTAGTCCATTTGGCCAGCTAAAGCAAAATACCATAAACTGAGTAGATTATAAACAACAGAAATTTATTTCTCACAGTTCCGGAGGCTGAGAAGTCCAAGATCAAGGTGCTGACAAATTCACTGTCTGGTAAGGGCCTGCTTTCTGGTTCCCAGATGACACATTTTCACTGTATTTTCACATGGTGGAAGGGATAAAGGAGCTCCCTTGAAGCTATTTTATAAGGGCACCAATCTCATTCATAAGGGCTCTGCCCTCATGACTTAATCATATCCCAAAAGGTTCCACCTGCTGCTTACTACCATCAGCTTGGGGGTTAGAATCTCAACGTAAGAATTTTCCAGGTATACAAATAATCAGACCATAGCAGCACTTAAGTGGTATTTGCTGCCAAAAACCAAAAAGAATATACCAAACATATAACATTTTATGTGAAGGGATTTTTGTTTGCTTTTTAATGCTGAGTACCTTGATTCGAGTTATAGAAATTTACCATAGACTTGCTTAATTTATTAACAATAAAATATTCTCAAGTGATGATTGTAACATAATATCTTCAAGCTGTTGTAAAAAAGAGTCCTCCTAATACATAAATAAGAGTTCTAAACTAAATAGCTTCAACTTTGATCATTTTTAAATACTCAGCAAACAATTATATAGTTTTATAATTATTATTTTAAGTGGCTTTTTAGTTCTTTTCCTAAATTGTATTTATATTTCACTTTGAAACTGATCAGATAGTGACTTAAAAGTCTCCCAGGAGCCATGTTGTCAGCTTCTTATATTTAATGAGACTACTTAAAATATCTCCTCCTGCCTATGATTTCACTGTCAATATTCTCTTTATTAAGAACACTTCTGTTAAACTAGGAATTAGAAAGAAATTTCAAGGTCATTGAACCCAATCTCCTACTAAGTGCAAGAATTTCATCTCTTACATCCAGGCAAGGTCTTTGCTTGATTATTCCCAGTGATGAGTCGCTTACCATTTCCAGACAATGGTTCTATTTTTGGAGTGTTTCTAATTCTGTAGATTGATGTCAAATTCATGATTGGACACTTCAGAAATATTGTCAGATATGCTTTACAAAACATATACATTTTTATATATAATTGTTAATAATGTAAATTGATATGACACAACACATGGAATATGAATGTACTTTTCAAAAATGTAATCTTATTTAATTTCCTTGGTGAGAGAGTAGCAATTTATTTTGTTACTGAAGTTTCAAAGTAGAATGGGCATCAATATGTATTTATTAGGGACAACTGATTTCTCATTCTAACAACTTTGCTTTCAGGTCTGTCTGGCATGTTGTAAAAGGAACATGGCCAAGGTATTTGGAGATAAGGACTAATCACTTTGGGTCATAATTAAACAGTTGCAAGCTTGACCATTTACCAGATGATTACTGTATTAGTCTTCTATTGCTGCTAAAATAAATTACCACAAACTCAGTGGCCTGAAACAACACAAATATGCAGGCATATCTCAGCTCACTTTGTGTCTCTGCATCACATTTTGGTTTTTCTTTCAGTATTTCAAACTTTTCTATTTTTACTATATCTGTTATGGTGATCTATGACCTTTGATGTTACTACTGTGATCGTTTGGGGACACCGTGAATTTCACCCACATAAGATGGTAAATTAATAAATGCTGTGTGTGTTCTGATTGCTCCACCATCTGGACATTCTCCAATCTCCCACCCTCTCTCTGGACCTTCCTATTTCCTGAAACACAACATTGAAATTAGGCCAATTTAAAACCCTACAATGGCCGGTTGCTGGCAAGACGGCCGAATAGAAACAACTCCAGTCTGCAGCTCCCAGTGAGATCAACGCAGAAGGCAGGTGATTTCTGCATTTCCAACTGAGGTACCCGGTTCATCTCATTGGAACTGGTTGAACAGTGGGTGCAGCCCATGGAGGGCAAGCAGAAGCAGGGTGGGGTGTCGCCTCCCTAGGAAGCGCAAGGGGTTGGGGAGCTCCCTCTCCTAGCCAAGGGAAGCCGTGAGGGACTGTGCCATGAGGAATTGTGCACTCTGGCCCAGATACTGTGCTTTTCCCATGGTCTTTGCAACCCGCAGACCAGGATATTCCCTACGGTGCCTATGCCACCAGGGCCCTAGTTTTCCAGCCCAAAACTGGGCAGCCATTTGGGCAGACACCAGACTAGCTACAGGAGTTTTTTTGTTTGTTTGTTTTTTCCATATCCCAGTGGCTCCTGGAATGCCAGTGGGACAGAATCATTCACTCCCCTGGAAAGGGGGCTGAAGCCAGGAGCCAAGTGGTCTGGCTCAGGGGTCCCACCCCCACAGAGCCCAGCAAGCTAAAATCCACTGGCTTGAAATTTGGGCTACCAGCACAGCAGTCTGAGGTTGACCTGGAATGCTCCAGGTTGGTGGTGGGACAGGTGTCCACCACTGCTGAAGCTTGAGTAGGCGGTATACCCTCACAGTGTAAACAAAGCCACCAGGAAGACCGAACTGGACAGAGCCCACTGAAGCTCAGCAAAGCCTCTGTGGCCAGACTGCCTCTCTGGATTCCTCCTCACTGGGCAGGGTATCTCCGAAAAAAAGGGCAGCAGCCCCAGTTAGGGGTTTATAGATAAAACCCCCAACTCCCTGGGACAGAGCACCTGGGGGAAGGGGTGGCTGTGGGCGCGGCTTCAGCAGATGTAAACGTTTCCCTGCCTGACGACTCTGAAGAGAGCAGCAGATCTCCCAGCACAGTGTTCGAGCTCTGCTAAGGGTCAGACTGCCTCCTCAAGTGGGTCCCTGAACCCGGTGTCTCCTGATTGGGAGACACCTCCCAGTAGGGGCCGACGGACACCTCATACAGGAGAGCTCTCACTGGCATCTGGCGGGTGACCCTCTGGGATGAAGTTTCCAGAGGAAGGAACAGGCAGCAATCTTTGCTATTCTGCAGCCTTTGCTGGTGATACCCAGGAAAACAGGGTCTGGAGTGGACCTCCAGCAAACTCCAGCAGACGTGCGGCAGAGGGGCCTGTTAGAAGAAAAACTAACGGAAAGGAATATCATCGACATCAACAAAAAGGATATCCACTCAGACCCCATACGAAGGTCACCTACATCAAAAACCAAAGGTAGATGAATGAAGATAGAGAGAAACCAGAGCAAAAAGGCTGAAAATTCCAAAAACCAGAACCTCTTCTCCAAAGGATCACAACTCCTTCCCAGCAAGAAAACAAAACAGGACGGGGAATGAGTTTGATGAACTGACAGAAGTAGGCTTCAGAAGGTGGGTAATAACAAACTCCTCTGAGCCAAAGAAACACATTCTAACCCAATACAAGGAAGCTAAAAACCTTGAAAAAAGGTTAGATGAATTGCTAACTAGAATAACCAGTTTAGAGAACATAAATGACCTGATGGAGCTGAAAAACACAGCGCGAGAACTTCGTGAAGCATACACAAGTATCAATAGCCGAATCGATCAAGTGAAAGAAAGGGTATCAGAGATTGAAGATCAACTTAATGAAATAAAGTATGAAGACAAGATTAGAGAAAAAAGAATGAAAAGAAACAAAGCCTGCAAGAAATACGGGAATATGTGAAAAGACCAAATCTACATTTGATTGGTGTACCTCTAAGTGACAGGGGGAATGGAATTAAGTTGGAAAACTTTAGGATATTATCCAAGAGAACTTCCACAACCTAGCAAGACAGGCCAACATTAAAATTCAGGAAATAGAACACCATAAAAGATACTCCTTGAGAAGAGCAACCCCAAAACACATAATCATCGGATTCACCAAGGTTGAAATGAAGGAAATAATGTTAAAGGCAGTCAGAGAGGAAGGTCGGGTTAC